CAGGAGAGAAGACCTGGCGATCTGCTTCTGTAAAGATTACAGCCTAGGGTACCCTCTGGGGCAGTTTTACTCTGTCCTATAGGGTCATATGAGTCAGTTGACCCAACAGCACACAACAACACAAGTTCACAGAATACCAAAACCAAACCAGTTGCCAATGAGTTGATTCTCACTCATGGTGACTCTCTGTGTGGCAAAGTAGAGCTGTGCTCCACAGCGTTTCCAATGGCTGATTTTTGGAAGTAGATTGCCAGGCCTTTCTTCCTAGGTGCTCATGGGTAGACTCGAACCTCCAACTTTTCAGTTAAGAGCCGAGCACACTAACCATTTGAACAACCCAGGTACTCCTCACAAAGTACAGGTAATTTACTAATGCAGAGTTGGCCTTGCCTCCCTATACACTTACAAGGAATATATTAGTTAATGTGTATGAAGAACTTACAGCAGAGTCTGGCATTATAGCACGTGCTCAATAACAGGAGTTATTGGCTATTATCCTACTGACTTGACCAAGCACAGAGCCTTCAATCCTTCCCCTCATCTCCCCCTGCAATGCACGTACCTCAAACACTGTCCTCGGAGACCCTCAAGATTTCCTCTCCCATTCCAATTCCCATGTAACCCCAATGGAGGGGGAACAAGAGGGACGAACTAGAAAAGAAATCAGTCACTTCCACCTGACCGAGTGGCTGAAAATATGTCAAGCCAGCAAAGGTAGAAAACTACTCATATAAAATAAGTGTGCACTCTCTAACCAGAAACAAGTTTATGATTTGGAAGAAAGTTTTATTCCCACCAAACTTAACCTTAAAAAATTAATTCCCCTGTGTTCGCTTCAGCAGCACAAATACTAAAACTGGAATGATACAGAGAAGATCAGCATGGCCCCTGCTCAAGGATGACATTCAAATTCATGAAGCATTCCATATTTTTGGGAAAAACACTAAATAGACAATAGATAAGCGGTAACTTTGGTGAAGGGTAAGACAGTACACAATACTGGAGAAGCCAGCACAACTTGTCCAAGGCAAGTTCATGGAAGCTCCATAGACACATCCAGACTCCCCGAGGGACAGAATTGCTGGGCTGAAGGCTGTGAGGACCATGGTCTCAGGGGACATCTAGGTCAACTGGCATAACACAGTTTATAAAGAAAATGTTCTACATTCTACTTTGTTGAGCAGCATCTGGGGTCTTAAAAGCCTGTGAGCGGCCATCTAAGATACTCCACTGGTCTCACCCC